CATGATTGGGATTCGAGACCTTTTGGCGGCTACTTGCTCACAGCAATCAGGGACATGGGAAGGTATCGAGATCACCAGGCTTTAGGGTTCTTGGGAAGTTGTGCATAGAGTAGTGAATACTACAAACTGGTTGACGCAGTATCAGATTCGCGTAAGGTAGGTCATTAAAGTGAGCGAGGTTTCCATCAAAGCTGGTGTAGTTTGCACGTGCACGGAAAACAGGTAATCCAGTTCGGGTCGGAGATTGAGCGAAAGTGATTTAGGAACAAGAGGTGTTCCTGTGATTTCTACCAATGTGGGTTGAAACTCTCAGGTTATGAATAAGTGTTAGCGGCCCAAAATGTTGCCTAATAGTTGGCATAATCCATTTCGCTTCAAGGAATTAGCGAAGGACCATGCACCAACTGGTGTTTCATATAGAGCCCCTAAGAAGTTTATTAAATGAATGGAAACCACGAATAGTCGAACTTTGACTTCTGAACTTTATGAGACAAGGATGTAAGGTATGTATAATCAAGGACGAGGTTAGCCAGCTGGAGACTAATGAGAATGGGAAAGTTTCCGTGCTGATTGTACCCGAAGGAAACGTGTGCCAACCATAATGCTGGAAGAACTATATGAGTGCATATGTATATGCATGTATTACATATGGGAAGCTGACTCATTTGAATGACCCTCTTCTCAATGTTTTTTTGGATTAAGATATAATGATATTTGTAGTTAGCTACAATAGAAGCCATCACAAGATTGCTTCGGAAAGCTTGAAGAAAAAAGAAATTTTAAGTTATTTTATCAATTCGGTGAATTCCCTTACAGATAAAACTTACTCCTTTAATCTTTGGATGTTAATATATAGCTTGCGAGCGTGATATGACCTGAATAGCCGCTTCTCCAACAACAGTATGACCATGATTAGCGAGTAGGAAAGCTGCAAGCTTTTCTACTCCCTATTCATGGTCGTACTGCTGTTTTTACTTCACGAACGTCTCCCTTTGCATTATAGCGATTTGAATGCTGATGTGCTTGATGTTATTGCCGAGGACCCCCCTTCCGTTTCTATCCTCACAGTCATGACTTAACCGCTGACTCTGCTGACAGGGGAGACAGCCTTTAAGCGGCTCGGATACTGCTACAGACACATTTCGGTTGGTGTATTCTCCATTGCAGTAGTTTCCATTGTTGTTAACCTAGACCTGACGCTGCTACCATCTCCATTTCTGCAACTTTTGCAAAACATGGTTCTTGAATCGGCAACATCGAAATGGAGCTTTTACTGTGTGCATACGTGACCTACTCCAAGAAACTCGACTCTTCCTGAGCAGAGCCCCTCATCGCTTGTTCGTGGAGTAGCTCTGCTGACATTTCGAGAAAATTCCCTTTGAAATAATAGCCGAAAATTGTTGCTTTATACATTTTCCCTACGATTGTATTAGTAGGACGTCGATACCAAAAAATCATCTTTATAACTGATAAAGAAATGAAAATGAACGCGAGAATACAGACTTCGAAGAACATATCGAGAACATATGTGAACCACAGATAATCAGTACGAGGATTCATAAAGTATAGCACAGATGTAATGGTTTATATCCTAAACCGATATTCGGGATAGAACACTTGTAGCAATGATATCATGAGCACAAAAAAGGTGAAATCTCTGAAGAGCAAAAAAAGAGAGCATCAAGGAGAAAGCTTGAATGGAGAACATTAAAGATCGGCAGGATAAAGGCAGCAGAGTGGAAATAACAGGTGATTGGGAAAAAATCAAAAAGGCTATAAAGAAAGTGATTTTAAGTGAAGGCGGTGAGACCGATGGTACCACAGGCAAGAGGAGTTTCATTTTTGTTATGCAACGAATACTCAGTCGTGGACAGCCTGTAAATACATTAATTATTACAGTCAAATTCATTCTCAGTTTCACTCAGTAGCTTTTCATGCAGCTGACGGGACCATTCAAATAAGCAGTCATGGGGTTAGACCATCGTATCGACGGATTTCCACAAAGTCTGATCTTCTTAACAGCAGTCGCCTTAGCGACCTCGCTGTCGTTCTCCCATATGTTATTACTCGGGTAACGGAACTTCTCCCCGATTGCGGCATTCTCCCTTGCGGCATGCGGCAAATGTCACTGCAACTACCGTACTCCTCTCGCCCCCCGCCAATCGATAGGACGCGAAATTTTTCTTTGATTTCCTTGCTTTTTTATTGGATTTGATCGTTTTTTCTTCTGTTTCTTTTTCGTTTTCATGTTTATTAGACTTGATTAATTAAAATGACAACTCCTATGTAAGCGACGATCAAGACTGCATTGAAATTGAAGAGAGTGGTCAGCCAATTCAAATAATTAAAGGACTCCCTACCTCACAAATGGCGCGCTCCAATCTGCCATCGCAATTCTGCGATACGCGGCGGGTGCGGCGTGCGCGACGCCGTCTTCAGGGAGAAGTTCCCGAACCCGTTATAACTCTGACCACTTCATCAAGATACGTTGCTTCATTTCCAAACACTCCATCAGAATACCCCTCCCCGTGCTTAACGCCCACCCTTCTATCATGAAAAAAATCATGTGACTTTGTCAAATGAATCTTGGAAAATCATGAAATTGACTAATGAAAAAGGTTTTTCAAATCGTATTTGTAATGGCTTCAGAGCTGGAATCCCCGAGGAGAAGATTAGACATACTCAGAAAACAAGGGTTCAGCTTACCTGTAAATGGCGATGGAACGCCCCACAACATCGGTAATTGGCCAGTCGACAACACGATCAAAAGTAGCCGTCGAAGAATCGTCGACTGAATTAAATATCTCAAAAAGGCCTGAGTTCGCAGATTCAATTCAGTTATTATTCAGCTGTGCTATATTTGAACACCTATTTTACATGAGATACATAATCTTCGATTATTGCACCTCTAAAACTTCACAGGTACAGAAAAAGGAGGAATCGAGGATAATGCTATGCTAACATTCCCCACGCTCTTTTTTTTCAGTATACGTTCACCGAACAAATGCAAACGGGAAAAGGATTTGTATTGTGAGCAATCAAGTACACTACTTTTCTATTATTTATTATCACTCGCACAAAACCCCCGTATTAACCTACACAATGCCAGGGAAAACGAAGACCGAAGCCAATTTTCAAGGAACTTTCCAGGAAGAACTGTCTTCATAAATGAATGCCGATTATCGCCCTCAGCTTAGTAAAGAGCTCCGGGAAGGCCTGACGAATGAAACAAGACGATTTTCATCGCCGGTCGCTGCCCGCATGCTGGCAAGTCATTCCCTTCTCCACTAACTGCGCTGACCCTGCCGCTTAAACCCCCCCCCCCCCTTCCCAAAGCCGAAATCTTTTTTTTTCGTGAATACGGTAAATGCTGTTTATATTAATTAGCCTTGAGTGGTTACTGCATGCACTTCTTCATACATATTGGAAGCATTCCTAATACGTTTCCAGCACTGGCAGCATGGGTGTCCTTATGCGGTAGTGATAAAACAAATAAACAAACGCCTCAACTCTAAAATATCGACAATTCCAATTCCATTTCAACTTCTGGACGTACTCGTTTGTAAAGAATTTTTAGTAAAATTTACCGACAACGTCTCCTAACGATGGCGTTCCCATGCCGCCCTTGAAAATGAAGGGAGGCCCAAGATGACTACAACCGTCTGACAGATCACCAAAATGATGGATTAATACAGCGTGCTCACCACGAGGAAGACCACTCAATACTCCTGAAAGCATACAGCAAACATTGACCGTGAAGCTTTGAAAGTAACATGATAGAGGCGTTTGCTCACCGCTTATCCGGAGATTGCTGGCGCTGATCTGCGTGAAGCTGAACCTTCCGCTCACGAGCTTTTGAGATGGAATCAGATTTGCTGTCGCTAGCTTAAAAGCTCAACTAAGAAAATACGTATGTTTTCAAACCCATAGGAAACGACCTACCACACCCCTTCCTCCCCATGTGAGGACCCAAAGAATTTTTGGACCTTACCTGCTGATCCGAGAACGGATCCTTGGGTGTAACCGGAATTTCTTTCATCGTTGCGCGGGGTTCGTCACTATTGGCTGAAGCGATAGATATAATGAAATTTCTTCTGATGCAGCAGAAAAAACCCAAACAAATCAATTTCTGAGCATACGTCATGCTCTTAACACAATTTAGATGGATATTCATAGTGATGTTCGATTTCCATGATGTTTACGAAACGAAGCCGAAGCTTCAACCAGTTCCAGTGGCGTACACATAAGCCATGAAGGAAGATAATCTCAAAATATTGGCCGTCATAAATCTGGGCAGTATACTATCTCCGTAGAGAACTGTTTGCGAAGAAACGATGACGGCTTCGTAAACAAAAGACTAACTACAGGGAACGATAGCTATGGAGGGAGTCTGGTTTCATGTGAAGATAGCTAATTGGGTGAGCCTATCAGGTTTAAGTTGAAGTAAATTCTCTTCAAAGTCGAAGTTCAGATCGCGGCTACAGGATAAGTACTAAATCTTTGGTGTTGATCGATTCCGTCTTGAAAAATACCAACGCATTCGACTTCCATTCAAATTCAAAGTGGTATTCGAAAAAGCTATAGACCTTCAAATTCTTTTTTTATAGAATGACGATTAAAACCAAATTACTTTGGTATCCGTCCTTGAACCCTGAGACCGAGCTTAAGGAAAGAACTAAGGAATGAGCATGAAAACTTAATACTTTGCTTTGTACACTGGAACAAAAGTGGTTCTTCTGTGCAGGCTTAGAACCGTACAAAGGGTACCGAGCAACACATCCCTTTTGCAAATCCTCTATCCATCCGCCCATACCAGAGACCACATTTAAGAGAAGTAACTCCTGCGTCCTGCTAGCTGGTAATAAACTGTAAGCAATCTGTATCTGTAAGCAACGGAGTGGAAGAATCGTGCTTGGACATTCCAATAAATTGATCCCAATGCTGCAAAGCCCTATGTGTATATTATAAGTATCCGGCAAGGTTTACGAAGTCTACCTTCGAAATGATCATATGAACACCAATGAATTGACATATTACAATTGTAATGACTCAGATCTCCAATACAGGGTGACCCACATGAAGTGTGACGCAGAAAACTATCATCAAAACTATACAGATCGAACCAAATGGGAAACTAATATTTCCTACACAATCATCACAAAATTGTAAACAACATATCACATCTCCCATGCAAAATGATCATCTTTCGCTTTAATGCAAGCTTCCAACCTCTTTCGGAAGTTTTCAAAAATGCGCGCAATCACTTTCATCCCAC